CACGGGTCAGAAATATGAAGGCAGACGTGACTTATCAACAGCTGTTAATCGTAGGTGACTCGATGTGGCGGTAACAGGCACTGGGGGGAGGAGAGTACTCGTCTGTTATCAGTTTATGTATCAGCTATGTTTGAAGTGCAGATGTTTCGTACTTGTCCAATGACAGGCAGCCATTCCGTTGCCACTTCGAGTGGACTTAATTTATCTCTGAAATAAAGTGCCGAATTATATAAGTAATGAATAACAAATTAGAAATTGTCTGTGAAAAGCGGTCGTGGCCAGATTTAAGGCACTTTTGCTCAGTCAAGCACCACGGAGAACTCTGTCCTTTCCCTCAACACCGCAACAGCTGCTGTTGCCTGACGTAAGGCGCTGTGACAGAGGTGAAAAGGTCAATTCTGATTTTCTTGGCTATGACTCGTGTCGTCTCGTAGGCGTAAGTCCGTCTTGAAGAAGGACGCCGCGCGTCCTCCCGAAACGTACGTAACCGCCCACGATTCTACACAGTCACAACCCAGAAGAACTCGACATTTACCGGAAACATTTGAAATTCGGAATTATTCAAGTCAATGGGAAGGCATTTTCTCCGTTCGTCATTAGTTACGTTCCATTTTGAATTCTCAGTTTATTTAACAACGCTGTAAAGTGTGATGTCACAATCGCAAAACGGCCTGACAGAATTATTCTGCAGACGAAATTAAAGTCTGAAGCTATCGTGCACAAAATTGATGCGAAATGCCACATAAACGTTCTTCAGGGTAGATGTTGTCGCGAGGAATCTTGCAGCCTTGTATTCCAGTGGCAAGAATTTCCATACGTACAACGACATTCAGTCGTTTCACTGTTAACTGGACCAAGTTGATGTGTCTCCTGTTTGAACCTGTTCTATTCCTGCAGGACCGGAAGCTATCTGAACCACGAGCCATGCCCGCGTCCTCTGACGTGATCTGCGTGTGGACGTGCTCGCAATGCTCCTACGCACACAATCCTCAGTGGTCGGAGCAGTGCGACGTTTGCACGAAGACGAAGATCAAGGACCTTCCAGAAGGCAAATGGAAATGGAGTTTTGGCAGATGCTGGACACTGAACCCTGTCACGGCTCTGCTCTGCGGCGCACGTGACAGAGAAGCGACGGCCCTGACACCGTCGGTGCACGAAACTTTAAGGAAAGGCGAATTCTGGGTGTGCAGTCGGTGCACCCTGAAGAATCCTCTCAGCGAACGGAAATGCAGGGCCTGCGAAGCTCCCGGATCGAAGGCCAGTGTGAGCGGACGGAACATTTGGCACGAGGGCGTCAGAGCTCTACCTGATTTTCCAAGCCAACTTGCACTGGCTGAAAGGAAGACTACGTCGAAGAACTGCTCCAAATGTTCACACAAAAACGTCCAAATAGCGAAAACATGCGAGGTGTGCCAAAATGCAAGAACTCGTATTTTAACTGATTCGGTCTGCCTGAGGGCTAAGGGAGATTCTACTCAATCGACGTCCTCTGCGATGAAGCACAAAAGTGAACTGTTGGACGTTGTAAGACTCGTCGAAGAACAGGAAGCACTGAAGGTACGAAAACGCGTCTTGGCGTATTGCAGATCCAACAACGAACCTTTCGTGGATGATTCGTTTCCACCGGCACCGAAGTCGCTTTACCACAAACCAAACGCGAAGAATAAAACTCACGTTGCGAAGTGGCTTCGGCCAAATGACGTTACTGTGGACGCCGACTCTGGCTTCAGTTGGACTGTATTTCGAACCCCGTTGCCTTCCGATATTTTGCAGGGTGTCCTGGGAAACTGCTGGTTTCTAAGCTCGTTAGCCGTGCTGGCGGAGAGAGAAGACTTGGTGAGGAATATCATAGTGACACGAGACGTGTGCGAGCACGGGGTGTATCAGGTGCGGCTCTGTAAGGACGGGAACTGGACCACAATCCTTGTTGATGATCTGTTGCCTTGTGACAAATACGGTCGATTAGTCTACTCAAAGGCGAAGCGAAAGCAACTCTGGGTACCACTCATAGAGAAAGCTGCAGCGAAGATCCACGGTTGTTACGAGGCGCTGGTCTCTGGAAGACCGATCGAAGGGTTGCGCATTTTAACAGGCGCGCCATGTGAAACCGTAGATCTACAGCCCCGACCGCGTGAGGATATTGACCAAAACTTAGTCTGGGCGAGGTTGCTGAGCTCTCGTTCTGCTGGTTTCTTAATGGGGATATCCTGTGGTGGGTTTAACGTGAACGTCCAGGAGGACGACTACGAACGCATAGGACTAAGACCTAGCCATTCATACTCCGTACTAGACGTGAGAAATGTGGCTGAACATCGTCTGCTCAGACTTCGCAATCCGTGGGGAAATTATTCGTGGAAAGGCGCCTGGTCAGACGATTCCGCGACATGGACTCCAGACCTCAAGAAACTCCTGTCACCAAACAGCTCTTCAGAAGGAATATTCTGGATATCGTTTGAGGATGTTCTGAGATATTTTGACAAAGTTGACATCTGCAAAGTGAGATCTGGATGGAGTGAACTACGTCTGTCAGGAAGACTTCCTCCGTTTGCATCAGCCAATCATCTGTCATGCGTCCTCCTCACTGTCCTCGAGTCGACTGAGGTAGATCTAACACTCTTCCAACAGGCAGAGCGGGTGCTGAAGAAACCTCAGCTGAACCTGTGCTTGGCTCTGTATCGAGCTCCAGCGTTTCCACTGTCGCATCTCGGACTTCTGGTGGAAAGCAGCCAAAGCCAGGTGCAAAGTTCTGCAGGTTGCGAGAAGATACTGGAACCTGGGTTCTACGTTGTCGTCTGCTTGGCCTTTAATCACTGGAACACTAAAGATGCTCCAGAGTATGTGCTAGCAATCCACAGCTCCAATCGTCTTCTTGCGGAACAAGTGTCCGCTGAGGGCTGCGTGGTAGGCGATGCTCTCATCGCTTTGGCGCTCGCGAGAGGACGCAAGTACGACGCCTTTGAAGGAGCGACGACGTACACTTTGAGCAAGTGCTGGGCCGGATTGGTTATCGTGGTCGAGAACCGCCACGCCAACAAGTGGGTCCACGTCAGGGTCGACTGTAACGCCAGCTACAATGTGGTGTCAACCCGCGGAGTGTTCCTCACTGCAGATGCAGTTCCACCGCTGCACAGACAGGTTATCACAGTGCTCTCACAGCTGGAAGGCTACGTGATGGTGTCGTCAGAATTCAGATTGCTCCATCGACTGACAGGCTCCAGCAATCTCGGGGAATGGGGAACGGGAAGCAACAGTCCCGCGCTTGGCGATCATCTGCAGGGCCTGCATGCTCCTCGGCCGATAAAGTAATTTCCTTCCCGGGTTCCTGGCGCAGTATCGAAGGCTTCACGAATTTTCTCTCCCTGTGCCATACTTGGGTATGAAATGCCAGAGGCCAAAGTTGCTACTGTCAGCTCGCCAAGAGAAGTGCGGAAAGGACGTGATCTTACTACGCATGCGCACTCCGCCTATTGCTATTCCACTAATCTCTAGCGCTGAAGAGCACTGTGTGTACGAGTAGCCCTTCAAGACCATCGCACCATCAGCGGACTTCTATCGGCACGCGAGCAGTACAATTGTATTTTGTAACAGAACTGGCTATAATATTTGTCAAGATTCCATGGACGCTGAACAGAATAGAGGAAAGAACATTTTTACAACCGGAAAATGGACAACAGCTTAATCCGTGATGATGATGATGAAGTGTTTCTAACAGAAAGTCCTTAGCATTCCTCCTTCATATTCGGGATATATGTCCTCAGCTCCTTCACAGGGACAGACCTTAAATTATACCATGACCAGTTTGTTCGAAATAATTTTCAATTTCTATGTTCATTCTACCCTATGTCGTCTGAGCTTCTGACAGCGTCATTAAACAAGCCACAAATTAAATTATATTTGCATACATCTCTGTCTAGTGCCAGTGGACATATCAAAGTCTGCACTAATTGGAACAGTTTGCAGGAGCCAGTTACCAAAAGGAAATTAATAGATTTTCTGGAAAGTGGAACATTCTAGAACAGGAATGAACTTTACCTCAAACAAACAAAAGTTCTCTGGATTGGATTCAATTAGTTCAGGGCAGGAAGCAGTGGGAAACTTGCAGACATAGCCACAAACCAACAAGTTCTATAAAGTCCAGAGAAATTCCTGACCAGCCATCAGTTTCTCAAGGATACAAATAAATTCGAAGGTAAAGTTCAAATTGATGGAACTCTCAGAAGACAAAATGCTTCAAGAGATCAAGCCCCTGGGTCTGCTCGGTCAGGAAATGATGATTTGCTTGAGAAAATCATGAAAGTTGAAGAAACCCTGCTCTAGTGTCCTTAACCCCCACAAATCTCACTTGAAGTCACGTGGGATTAAACTTGGCATCTTTATGGTAAGAAACCAGGAGCGGGAAATTAATGTCAACATTCAACACAAAATTTGTAACCTTGAGTTCCTAAACTGAATAACAACGAACAAATCATATGAAAATTACATGCAAATGATGTTTTTGGTTTTTGTCATGTAGATTGTCAGAGACAAACATCTTGAACCCTGACACTTGTATCCTAATTTGAATACCACATGAAAACACCAAGAATTCTTCAAATTTTCCGACAGACAGCAACAAAGTATTTAAATCCAAAAGAAAGTAATTAGAATCACGGCAGGTGTAGAAAATTATTTCAGAAACTTCCTATAATTCCACTTGTAAGTGAATATAAACTCTCCTTACCGTCATCTGTGGCGGAAAACACGGCCAATTTCAATGAAATACAAATACACACAAGATATAATAAACACGGCCTTCATGTGCCAAATTCTAACCTCTAAATATCAAGAAGCAACGCAATGACCGTCTGAATAAATTAAAAGTTGCCCCTTAACTCACTCCTTCTGCTGGGTAGAACCAAATGAGTCGTCTGCTGGTGTCTCCATCAGTCAGTAGCTCCGTCTGGCTTCACTGTTCCTTAGTCGCAATCGCAAACGTAATCACGACATCTCCCTTCCTTACGACTCTAATCACGCTTTCGATAGATCGATCGATCCGTCCTCCTTGTGACCGACTGCTGACTCTCGTGATTGCCTAACCTTGCATTAAGGGATTACCTAAGACGTTCTTTAACCACATTAAATTTGTCGTGCATAACCACAAAGTTTCCTTCAATCGCCATTTCTTCCAATTCTTTTTCCTTATAACCAACATTTCACACACAATTCGTAGGACTGTGTGAGATATATCTGCAGCAATTACCTTGAGAATACAACTGTGTATTCTTTGAGGAGCTCTCGTCAGTTGCACGTCTCTCGATTTTTGGGAAAATAACGTAAAATGAAAACTGATTAAACACATTCACGTGCGTTGGCGGCCACCGGTGCTCGTAGTTGGGCTCGCTACTAACCTCCTCATGACATAAATTCTGCAAGGCCGAACGTTTGCTCGTTAATCATTAAGTTATCTTTGTATTGGCACGAAAGCTATTTACGTAGTTAGGAAAAACCTATTTCCGCGATGCTTCCTGAAGGGGTGGGGGAGGGGGAGGGGAGGAATAGCAACTCCTCGGAGCTAGAGCTGGAAATTTTTGTATAATTATGTAGCTCTTTCACAGAAACGTGTTAATCAAAATTCCGTCTTCCACTTTCACATCCGTCCCTGGGTAGCGACACGTTTTCAATATATGTGAAACGTTGCATAAAATTGTTGGTCACCCCTGCCACGCCATTTCAGGTCCCTTTTTGTAAGACGTCAGCACTGGCATTGGCGTTTGGTGGCCTGCAGTGACGATATTTATATCACATTCTGTGGAAATAACTAAGTCGGTTGATAATCTCAAATAGGAACACGCACGTAAGCCAACCTTCGGCCACAAGAACAACGTCGTTGAAGTTATCGAAGCAAATGTAAACTCCTGCATTGAGAATAAATTAAAATTCTCCAGAGTGAAGGAGCGTAAATCCAAAAATCATAAATTAACTACGATTTCTGCTGTAGGACTTATTACACGTCATATTACCGGTAATTTAGCAAAATTCCTTCCTCACAATTAAGTCCATATCTAATTACTATACAATAATTATAATTCTGTATTTTTAATAAACTGGTAAGCCTTATGTAAGAGAATTGTTGAAGAATTCTGTAACTTACGCCCCCGATCCTTCGTCATTAATGCGGTTAACAGTTTAGACAAATTTACTGTCAGATAGAATTGCCAGCGTTTGGTGCATTTGAATTAAATAACTTGAATTTTTTGCAACTAAAAAAATAAATATTTGTTTTACGATTGTCTCAGAGGGCAACAGAAAAGGTGACGATGAACAAGAAAGTTCATGGGCCCTTGGAAGAAACTGCCTTGTGTCTGTGCATATTGAACACTGCAAAGTGACATCCAAGAGGTTCCTACCGCAAGAGGCATGGTTTCCAGGAGAGAATACACAAATTATCACTTTTACACATAATCCGATGCGATGGTTCCCAGACGCCACCATTAAAATACGAAAAATATTTCGAGCGACGTTCAGTTTTACATTAATCGTCACAGATGGAGAGACAGGGAAGGTTTTTTTTAGGTATTGTTATAAGTGAAAATTCACGTGTATTGTATTTATTTCCCAATAAATTTCATCCTCAGTTTCCCCCATGATCCCCCTAGAAAATCACGCTGTGCTCACTCAATGGGGTGGGTGGGCCCGCATGATTGAAACTGGGTGACTCGTCCTCGGCTGAAAATCTCGAGATTACTGAGACGAGTCAGAATATGAGGTTTAATTTCTTCTTACGCGTAATAATTTTCTTCTGGGAATTCGCCTGAAACCTTGTCAAAAATCTGGGAAATTTGCATTTGGACCTGAAAGAGCTTCTCAAATATACATGAATAAATATGCACGCCACTTCTGGTCTAAAAAGTGTTGGTAGTGCGATTCTCAAACTCCTCGACGCCCCACGACGCAGATCTATCGGTATCAAACTGCGCCTGTGAGCTGTGCTCACCTTGAGGCACTATTTGGATGAAAGTCTTGACTCCAGTGTGTGGGGGCTCTGGTTCGAACACCGGTTCATCGCTGTTAGGGGCACAGTAGTCGGCATACTTCATGGAGAACACACAGTGAGCGTCCAGCTTCATCATGGCGAGCGCCGAGAATTCGCTCGTACAGTCCACCTTGATCAGCGCAAAGCCCAGCTCAGGCGCAATCTGTCTGCAACCGAGAACATCGCGCTCAAAATCGTTTGGGTCACATTAACGTTGTTACTGAATCAATAATATCAATAAACTTCTGGTATGAAGCAATAACACAGGAGATAAGTCAGAGTTCGTAATTTGGGTGGAACCCAAAATGTTGGAAAATCTGGAATAAAGAAAGAAACGTAATCTCACAATCAGCCTTTACGTCTATACAGAGGCATGTTCTGCTTATTCTCTTTAAATGTGGGTCCTTCATAATCTTAAAAAGTGGAATTAGATTAACAATTACAAAGACAAACTTCATTCTCGTGACTTTAATTTCAATAAAATACATTTTTTTATTTAAAAATTAGGTGATGGACAACGTCCAAAAATGTTGTCATGTCACAAGCCTTCAGATTTAACGCAGATCCAGTTGCCAAAAATTTTGTGTTAAAAACTGGGACATTCCCTTAATTACATAAGAAGGAAAATGGGGCACAACGAGTCTTGTGCTTTCTTAAAGAACGTGTCACTATCGTGCTCCTGGTAAATAATGAACACGAAAATTACATAAAATATCAAATCACTTGCAGTTTTCAAATCATCAACATTTTTCTGTTCCTGGAAGACCAATGCAAAGCTTTTGAGTGTTTGTGTTGCCTTTCATTGCATGAAACTCAAATTCTGTATGAAGACGTGCGAGACTGAAATTGTGCCCTCGACCATTCAATTTCTGTCAAGAGACCACCCGTTTCAAAAATAGGAACACATTTCTACATTCCTACATCACTTCTGGTTCGGACTTGGAAGTTTTCTTTGCACAGTGCAGGAAGCAGTTTGAGGCTGGCACTGACCTGGTTCGTTCCATAAGAGCCGTCGCGACGCCTCTGCCGCGCCAAGCACCATCCACCGCGATGGTGCGGATCTCAAGCAGTTTGTCGACCTCGGGAAACTTGCCGAAGACGTCGGCCCGCCGCTCCAAGGTAGCAAGAAACCGGAGAATCTTCTTTAACTTGGGGTTGGGGCAACTTTCAGCCTCAGCCTCCATCTGACCCACGTGGCCAGGCTCGTGGCATCCGTTGAGACACGCACCCACTACTTCTCCACCGGGTGCCACTGCGACCACAGACAAACCTGTCAACACATCATGAACTATGCAGCACCAGTGCTGCTGTCATCTTGCTTTGTACTTTCTGGTTCAAAAATAAAAGTCCGCTTCACAAGCTCCGAAAATGTTGTACTACGGAAATACACGATTGCAGATTCAGGGATCAATAAACGTTTGACTGGTTTCTAAATGAAACTTCAAGGATCTTGGGAGTTGTTGAAAATGCAATAAAGTCAGTCCAAAGCATAGAAATCGCCCAAAGTTTTGTGCGATCCTCACACTTCATACCAGCAGACGTGTGATCAATTGGCCCGTACCGTCAGCGAGCGTCTCCAGACAGAACTTCTCCATTTCCAGGCACGCGCCGTCTTCATCCGTCAGCCCGACGGCCACGTGGAGCGGTTCGTCCCTCAAGAAGGAGCAGCGCATCAACTGAAGAATTCCTTCGTAGTCAGAAGCGGTCGTCCTGCGTATCTTGCAACAGCTTGTGTCCGCCATGACGCCGTCAGCCACGCACGAAGTTCAGCTTGTGCTTAGACTGAATCAAATAATCTCATTTTACGGGATCATTCTCGACATGCATTGACTTTAATTCACATCGTAACAAACTGCGAAGTGATTGCCGACAGACTCAAAGAGGCGAGTTCTCTGGAGCAGAGACTCGGGTGTCATGGAAACAGGATATTCATTACTGCATTCACCGGAGCCAGCGCGAGAGAGGAGGAGGATGGCCGCTGTCGGCGTGGGTCTGAGGGCGTCAAGAACGGCGTCGAGTTACGGACGGACAAGAAATCTCGGGCCTCAGCGACGCTCGTTCAAATTAAATTTGAAAGTTCAGCCCCTACCGCAAAGAAAACGCAGTACTTCTCCATTACAAAGATTTGGTTGATGTGTTCAAGGAAGAGATCGCTGTTTGCGCCGACATTCATTCTGTGGGCAGAATTGTTATTGAAGCCGGTGGTACACACAGTTACCACTGGGCTCTGAAAGGTTGATTTGTTGGGAATCGTGCATGAGCACGGTAATGAACGTTCCAATTCCATAAAAATCTATCGGTTTGTTGATTAGCTGAGCGGCTGTTAACTTTTGAAGGGAGAACTCTGCGACATGGAATTGCTTATTACGTAAAAACCGCTAACATTACCGCAATTTTTTTTTTACAAATAATCGATGGTTGTACTGTTTTAATTCGCTATAAATTACAAGCGAGCTGAAGTAATTTTCGCGGCGCTTGTAAGCGAAGTGGGTTGCATAATGAGCTAGAATTGTGCCCTATTTTCATGACATCTACATCCTGGCTTCAGGGCTACGTCATTTGAACCGCCGACACGCCCAGCCCCTGAAATTTCATTTAATTGGTCTAATTCACGTTTGGTACAGTGAAAGTACGGAGTACGTCCTATGGTCTGAAGTTTTGCGCCGTGATTATTGTGAATTCATTCTCACCAATTTCAGCCACGGTTTCCTCCAAAAGGTGTCTGTCTGCTTAAGCTGCGGGCTTGTGCTCTGCCCCGGTATAAAATAAGTCCCGTTAACTTTCGCTCGTTCCATAAACCGCATGGATGTACTGAATGTGGCCGGATGTTAAGCAGAACTTGAACTCGTTTTACGTCAGCCACAGAGGCAACACGTGAATTGGGAAACTTGGATGTCGGTTCACGAAACTAATGCAGGGGTTTAGGGGAGGAACACAGACCGAAGGCGAACATGGTCACGGCTGTGACAACTCAGGATCCACCTGCACCGAGTGGTCATGAGGGAAGAATCTCTGCTCCTTTAGGGATTCTAACCCGACTACAGTGTCTAACAAATAATGCAGACCTATTATAGTTAAGTGATAATTCATTTTGCTCTGAACTTTGCTACGTACGATCGTCCGTAAATTGGCACCTGCCTTTATATTTATCTGCCGTCTGCAAAGTAGCAAAATAATTCCCTCGAGAACACGTTTTTTCAGTGCAAAGTTGCGTTCGCTTCTTAGCAGCGTTAAGGAACGCGAGTACCGGAATGGCTTCATTTATGCGACGTATCGAATTTTATTTATGATGAGAGAAAATGTTTCGTGTTAACTGCATCCCGGAATAGGGTCATCATTCCGAAGCTGATAGTCGCTCAGCTGGTCAAAGAAGTCACCCTTCTAATGCAGCCTGAATAAATATACCATCTTGCTCGCCACTGAACGCAATCGTGAGCCAGGTGAATCCAATCCGCTTCTGTTCCAATGCCCACTCCGCACTGGTCTGCCTGCTTAATCTCCGAGTTCTTATTACAAAATCCTGCATACGGTCCTATTTATGCGTGCTACGTGTCCCACTCATCTCATCCACCTCGATGTGATGGCCCCGACTGAATTTTGTGAAGTTTCTTGCCGTGTTAAGGTCGCGATTGTGTGAGATGTAAATACATTTCAGTTTCTCAACTGGAACATTTTGCACGGGCATTCAGCCTCTGCTTTGGCAACATCGCGATAGGCAGTGGCTAATTTCTAAAAGAAAAGGGAATTTCCGGGGACAACTTCGTCTTCCGGGGACAAGCAGACTCCAATGCAATGTTTGCCGAAACCCCGAATCCCAAAGTCCAGAGTGCAAGAAAGGCTCAAGGCGTGGAAGTTTTAGTTCGTAAAAGTTACTCGAATTTTCGTCGGCGTTCGCCTGCGTTACTCTCGTTATCACAAAGAATCTGTTTGTTTCCTTTGTTCTGCCACTACGTGGAAAAAGGTGAGATAAACACGCGAAGCGATAAGCAACTCAGCGCCATCTTAAGGTTGAGTCACTTGCGTCTAAATAAGGCGGAAAAACGCTTGGAATCTGAAGACGCAAGACAAATTCCGGAGCGGATTGAACTACGGTCTGCAACACGTCTCCAGAAAATCCTGCATTCTGTGTTCGGCGATTCTTGGCACAGAATAATGAGCTCTAAAAAGACACTTTCATTGCGTCTTTAAAATCAGGACGAGGATAATACTAAAATGTATACGATACAAGTCGGGTGACCTTGTCAACACGACCATCAACTTGCGGCTTGAATAAAAGGCGAGGAAGGTTTGAATAGCTGAACCACTATCAGTTTCTCAAGACGGATATTGGTCGATTGGGTTGAAAGTTATCAAACGTCGCAGAAGTTCCTTGGCAGCAACATTCTTACATGCAAACTGTGGTCGTCTGTTAAGTTTACCGACGTTTCAGAGGCGCCTGCTACGTCGGTAAACGTCTACCAAGCTACAAGGCGCAGCAACCCGAGAGACAGCCATCTCTGTTCCTCCTCGCCGCCGCGAAAACTTCGATTAATGCGTTCAATTAGTCGTTCGTTTATATATTTAAGCAATGAACAGGTTTCTGGGAATCTTCTCGAGAAGCTTACAGTTGCTAATCTAGTAAATAAATATTATTACCGTGTGCTCGCTGGTCCTTATCCTGCGCTGTGAATAAGGTCTACGCCTAGGATTCCTCCCTCCTTACTAAGTTGCCTTACGTTCAGAATGACTCGCCCACCAGAGACGGTCCTCCGGGCCAACTTGCTGCCAGCCGCCCTGCGGGAAAGGAGGCCGCGGCTATCAGCGAGATCCCATTTTAAGCTTCACCGTGACGCAGGAACTGATTGCAGACGGAAAAAACAAAACGCCAGTGTAAAGAAACAGAGCTAAATGTTATCAGCCCCGTCACTTAGGATTACGTCCCGCGTGGAGCAAATGAGGACACGGGCCTTTCGCAATTCTCCGGTGCATGTGAACTGAGAGGCCGGATCTTGCAGCTTTTCAACGCCACGTTCGAAAACTAATTTTAAGCCTGACACCCACCCGTCAATTTTGAGTGAACTCAAATTGTGCTCTGACATCGAAGAGGTTTCCCCCCAACTCCGCATCACGTAGGTCGCTGCTGCACTGATGAGATCCGGTGTCCTGGCACTACTCGTCCAACTAAAACCTGGAAACACCGGGTGTTTAGGCCTGGAAGCCAAGGCAGGGAACATATGGGCCGTGGGGCAAAGCCCCTAGAGCAAGTCCCAGGGGCTAAATAACCGTGGTTCGGAGCAGGCATCAGGGGGGGGGGGGGC